TGCACTGGGTGTACCATGTTCCAACAGCACACATGTGTGATTGCTGTGCGCGGGGGGTTGCGTCCCTGCTTCCAGCTGCTGCAGTTGTTGAAAAAAATAAATAAAAAATATTCAATTGTCGACACGTCTTACCCCGGATGCAGCTTGCCACACGTCAACTGCATTCATGTTCTATCTTCTTGCGTATTGACCGCCTTCGTCATGGAAGCGTTTTGCGCTACTGTATGCCGACAGGCGCTTAAAAATGTTGAGTTGCAGGCCGAGAAGTGGGGATACCAATGTTGGCATGTCGCTGGGCATTTTTTCCGATTTTGAATCTCTGCTCAGGTACACGACAAGCCATAACTCAAGCAATTTGATTTTTTTTTTTTGATGTCTTTTTTTCATCGTGACCGCCTTTTCCCTGTCGTCAATTTGCGCTATCGTCTGCTGTGCTGCACATCGTATTGCGAAAGTTACACTCCAAAACGCATATCTTTTAAATTGCTCCTATCAACTATGTGCCACCGTAATATTTATTTATTTATTTGTTTCTGATTCTTTTGTTTCCTTGTATTTTATCGCTCTGCTAACCCTTGGGGTCCGTTTTATTTTGGTATACCTTTTCTAGGTACGTTAGCCTGTGACCACGGAAATTGACCGAGTCAAGTGCTGGATTAGTACGGAGAGATTGAGACAGAAGGAGGTACTGGATANGAAGCCAGGATATCGTGGTATGCTGCATCTCCCAATTTGATGATCGTACACTCCCAAGATCCAACAGTCATCGTGTCAGCAGCTAGATGACTCAAACGAAATTGCAAAACATACACTGCCATAGCTCCACACATGTCGCCCCGGTGGTCTAGTGGGTAGCCTCGCAGCCTGGTAAGGGCCAGGTCATGGGTTCGAGTCCCGACAGAGTGAGTTTTTTCTCGCTATTTTAATCCTGGTCTCGTTGGAAGCGATGCGCTGCAAAGCTCGTTGTTAGTAAACTTGATCGACTTCTTAAGTCGCGAGGGAAGGGATTGCTGTACCCTTCTCGCGATAAAAACACCTCAGGCATGAACCGCAGGAGGGGGTCCAACCCCCCGTCCTATGTGACCCCGATTGGGTCGTCTAGCTGGTGGAAGTGGAGGATAGGGGCCAGAGGGGCAGACGACAGAGTCCAATGA